TTGAAACAATTCAGAAAACAGTTTTATAGAACAGTTTTGTAGTCCAATCAAGTGGTCAAATGTATTTTCTCTTATCATTGTTAGTATTTTACTTGTCATGATGACCCCAGGCTACACGTCACTGCTCTTCACATCTTACCTGTTCTTTTCTTACAAACCTCACAGAGAGAAGTGACCAAGTGTTGTCAGTTTACTCTGGATTTACAAAAAAAATGTTGTTAGAAATTCATAGGACTATCAGTTGTATCTAATTTAAAAATAGCATTATTACTATGTAAATGAAATGTGTGTTTAAGAAAGTCAAACCATACAATAATATAAAGAAAGCAGCTGCTGATAAACGTTAATATTCTGTATAAATATAAAGCTTCCATGTGATGAGAAAATCCACTGCTTTAAAGAAGATTGGGAAGCAGGCCTGGTACACAAGTTGTTTTTTCTGCCCTGCCTGGTTGTTCTGAGCTCTGCTTATATTCTGTCAGATTAGTGCTGATATAGAGGATATGTTGACAGAGAGAGGACATTGCACATGGAGGCTGCAGGCTCTTCGAAGGCTGGTGGCAACGCGGCGCCAAGACAAGCATGCATCTGTGTGTCTATGTTGCTGTACGTGTATACAAGTGGAGGGTTGCCGGTGGAGCACAACATGTGGACGCCCACCCACTCAGCAGCCTCGCGGCAATCGTCATTTCGCATCAATCCACAGCCCTCAATATAAATAGGACAGGCATCCTAAAGCTACTCACTACTATGAGGAGCATTATGCATCGACCCTGGACCTCTTAGTTTGAAATATGGCTCCACCAGCATACTTTATTGGTAGTTTCTCCCTTACAAGCACTCCACTCTGTTAACAGGAGTATTTTAGCCTCTGGATGTACCTCACTGTGTCGGTACTAGCTGCAACAATGAAACAACTAAAGAAAGTGAGAGACGAGAAGCATTAGTGACATTTGGAACAACTAAATACGGATGTACATGGGGAAAGCACAACTTTTAAATGTCTTTGTCCAGGATTGAATTGCCTCCATCTGCTTCCTGTGCAATCACCAGCACTTGTGCAAGTATGGGGAGTTTATGATCTTAAATACAATTTGATATTTGTGTACAAAATTATTTTTACAAAAAACATGAATAGGAAAAAAACACAGTGCGGATTCAGATAAAGTTGGGACGCGTTAAAATGTAAATACAACCTGAAAACATACAATCTCATAAACCCATATTTTGTTCACAGTGTAAGCACAGCAAATGTTGAAAATGTGTAATGGTACAATTTGGGGGGGTGTAATTTATGGCAACAACATAGCTCAAAAGATTTGGGACAAGGCCGTGTTTTCCGCTGTGAAACATCTTTTTTATTTTATTTTAACAACATGGAGGAACTAAAGTTTTAAAGCTGCTGGAGCTTTTTGAAGGAAATGTCTCATTCTTCTCTAATGTACAATTGTAGCTGTTCATCAATCCTGGCTCTTTGCTGGATTTCTTGCTGGATGTGTGTGTATGTTGTTCTAAAACCTGTCCAGACTGGTCTACATTGATGGAGTCTTCACAGATGTGTTCATGCCAGAGGTACGAATGCACCCTCATACCATCAGAGAGGCAAGCTTTTGAACTTTGCGCTGGTAAAAGGCTATATGTTCCCTTCGCTCTTTAGTATGGATGATGTGGAATCCATGATTTCCCCCAAAAAAAGTTGATTCATCCAACCACAGAGCAGATCTCCACTTTGCCTCAGCCCATTTTAAATGAACTTTGGCCCAGAGAAGATGACGGTGTGTTCGCGAATGGCTTCTTGGCTGCATGATAGAGCTTTAACCACGGTGACGTGTTACAGGCGGTGATTTGTGGACGTGTTCCCTGGTCCATAATGTGATGTCCATAACAGAATCAGACCTGGATCTACTGCAGTGCCGCCTGAAGGCTAAAGGCCATGAGCATCCATTACTGACTTTCAGCGTGCTCCTTTGCACACAGAAATTACTTCAGATTCTTGAAATCTTGTATTGGCTTTATGAACTGTAGACGTCTCTTCAACGTCAGTCCTATTCTATGTTAAAAGCAATATTTTGAAATTGTGCCACTATTTTTAGACAGTTTTTCCCAAATTGTTGAATCTTTACTTCTGAGAGATTCAGCATCTCTAAAAGGCTCATATATATATATATATATATATATATATATATATATATATATATATACTTTTAGTGACCTGTTGCCAATGAAATTAATTAGATGCACAATGCTCTTCCAGCTGTTTTGTATTTGAACCACTTACTTTTAAACACTGTTGTTCCCCATATCAACATTTTTATAGATTTATTGCTGCCAGAATTCCAGAATTAACTTTTGTTTATCAAACAAATAGTACAAATTCTTAGTTTCAACAACTGGTATCATGTTCCATAATATATAAAGTAAATATATATACAGTATATTTTAATTAATTACTGCATGGCACTAATGGTGCACTAATTTAGAGACTATACTTCCACTCTGTTATTTCCTTTTGACGTCATTGAAGCTTCATACTTCATTACCGCAGGGCAATTTCTGCTATTACGCAGAAAGAATGCAAACCCGTGCACACCTGATGTGTGTATGCATGTCAGAGGTATAACTAGAAGATGAGGGGTAACTGTTGCCCCCCACCACCCCCACACTGCACAATACCTCCTCTAAACGCAGAATCAACCCATTCACATGGAAACATCGTTTCATTTAGTCAAAACAGCTGGAAGGTGTTGCCTGTTGTCCCAGTGTCAAATGAAAGAGAATGAACAAACATCTGGAAGGGCATTTTATTGCTCCACAGTTCAACTTGTAATTAATTATATTAATATAATATAATAATTATATTATATTAATAATTGAGCATGCATCAGGATAACTTGTAATTACATTTTAACAAACTGACTCTAATGTGCATGCGCAAAGCAACTTAAATGTACCACTTTCCAAACAAGGTCCAAACTACTGCCATGCATGTAAAGGTAGCCCATCGCTGACACAAGAGAGGAGACAACAAATCTTTTACTTCCACCCAGTGGCCAAAACTTGAACGTCACTCTGATTTATGCATCACTGACTTCACTGGAAAAGGCTGCAATAAAAGCTGTAATCCAAAATTAATATATGAGTATAAAAAAAAATCATGACTTTAAACAGTTCATTCAAAATGTAAACCTTCCCTTGAATTCATTATGCTATCCTTCATGAACACAATCAAACAAATTAAACTAAAAAAAAATACATTTCATTGTTTATATGAAAAGAGATTAAAAGGGTTCTTTATTTGTGTGTATTGAGATTAACGGATGAGATCATGATTGTGTTGCTTCATGAGCAGTTGGGCTGCTGGCTACCCACTGGCCTTAAGGAGAATGGCTCTTTAATTAGAAATCAGTGAATGGAGTGGTGCTAACACACCTCACGCTCAAAGCATGAGGGTAAGCAAATACTTCAGTGAACCTTCGAGGCAATCAAACGTTCATTTTTAATCAGAAACTTTTGTATTTGTGGCAGTCTCACCAGCCACTTATGGGACTGCCAGTGCTGGGCACGCAGCGCTGCCTGAAAATCTGGCAGTTAAAAGTTGATTTAATGAACAAGACGAGCAGCGGGACAAAGTGATCACATTTAATTTCCATAAATGTTTTTGAATTTTCACAAAATGAATTAATCATAATTGAAAATGCATTTGAGCATAAACAAGAGGCTGCAATGTATCTTATATTTTCAAATGAAAATGTATGTTCCATGTTTTCCCTCACTACATATTCTTATGTCTTGAGACTTGTGTAAATCATAATGAAAGGGGAAAGAAGAGTGCTCAAACCACTTGTGATTAAGTTCACCACTGCACAAACTGAATGTAGCAGCCTGTTCTTATACATGCTATATGTGAGAACAGTGTAATAGACTGCCTTTCAGGTTGGTTGTGCATCATCTGCAGACGGCAGAAGTGATTTGAAGGTTACGACCAAGCCTTAATCTGATGACTCTTATATGAACAATAAGAACTTTATTCTGTCCAGGGGGCCTCCAGAAAGTTTCAAGGTGTCCAGATGGGAAGTTGTATTACACTGCTGTCATTAGAAAAATATTGCAATATGGGAATTAGGGAATAACAGTCTGATAAAGGCCTATTTCTAATACTAATACTAACTGAGGGTGGCACGGTGGATCAGTTGGTTGTGCTGTTGCCTCTCGGCAAATAGGTCATCAGATCAATTCCTGGCCGGGGGCCTTTCTGGGTGGAGATTACATGTTCTTTCTGTGCATGCGTGGATTTTCTCCGGATACTTCGTTTTCCTCCCACAGACCAAAAGCATGCATGTTAGGCTGATTGGTAACTCTGAATTGTCCCTAAATGTGAGGAAGAGTGAGTGGCTGTCTCTATGTGGTCCTGTGATGGACTGGAGACTTATGTCCAGGGTGTCCCCCGCCTCTCGCACAGTGACTGCTGGACATGGGTGCCAGTGACCTCTGTGACCCAGAAAGGAAGAAGCAGGTAAAGATAACGGATGGATGGATGAATAACAGAAAACTGCCCAGTTAATACTCAACATATTGAAGCTTGCCCTCTGTCCTAAATTGTGAAAAATACACACAGTAAATAAATACAATTAATGTACTGTATATAGCTTTCTAAGACGCTGTATCCTCACTTGAGGATTATTCAGTTTAAGTTATTCTTGAATAGAGTTATTGGGTTTTTTTTAATGGGGGGGGGGGGGGGGGGTGCCTCTTTGACCCCATCCATCCAAATACTAGTAAATGCTCACAGACAGTACAGCTCATGTACTGTTTATTAAATTACCAGTATCTAAATAGAGTCCTAGTAGTAGGCAGCCTACAAGATAAATTGTAAAAGTCGTTAAGGAAACTGAGCTGGCTCTTACTTATGAGCCGAGCCAAATAAAAAATAAAAAAAAATCCGAGCAGTTTGTTTTATTTGTTTATTTTATACAGGCATTTACACAGGCAGCTCTGTGTCAAACGAAAGACCCCAAAGCGCCAATATGGCGGCGCCGGAGAGAGATGCCGGGGAGTTTAAAAGCTGGCTAAATGCTCGACTAGACTCGTTGGAAATGGACCGTGAAGTGTACGGGACTTACATTTTAGGGATTTTACAAGAAGAGGACAGCGACGAAGAGAAGAAAGATGCACTTCTGGGGATATTTTGCGCTTTTCTGGTGAATACGTGGAGCGGCGTGTCCTGCTCAGACACGCCGCGGTGTGTTCACATCTGCTGCTGTCTGTCTGTCTGTCTGTGGCCGCCAGCTGGACCACGACAGCTGGCTCTAATGTCACTGTTAGAACAGCCTTTTAGCCTCAACTAAACTCCGTATAACTCGGAAAAGGACCATTCTGTCCTCCCACGCCAAAATCCATTCAAAAATGTATTTATTACATGACCCGTGTTTTTATGATCGTAACTATAGTTAATGTTAATTTGTTAGAAACATCTCTGCGATAAAATCAGTTGTATTTTAAAGTCTAAACTTGTGATTTGTTTATCATCACACTACTGTGCTGAGTTTTGGGTGAACTATTAGGTTTAAAATAGAAATTCCACACTATTACCCTGATTTATACAGATATGTTAATAAATATGACGATCTCATTTGTAAGCACAGCTGCTGATTTACCCACTTATGTTTTAATCCATGTGTGCAGGAGGAGGACACCATGGAGGATGTGTGCATGCAGATTATTCACCAGTGGTCAGAGTATTGCAGACATTCAGCAGGAAGACAACATACTGACGATGGTAATTGTGCTCTTCCTTAAACACTCATCACAGTTCAGCACATCTGGAATGATTCAAACTTACAGTGATGATTTATTTACAATGTGACTTTTTATTTCCCCTCATTAGCTGAGGTCCAGGCCATTGCCACCATGATAGAAAAGCAAGCTCAGATTGTAGTAAAACAGAAGGAGGTATCGGAGGAGTCGAAGAAGAGGAAGGAGGCTCTACTTGCTCAATATGCAAACGTAACAGATGAAGAGGAATATCCTTAATCACTTTCAGAAACGTCTATAAAATAAAATAACAATAGGTGTTGGGTTTTAAGTCTAGTAACAAGCATGGCAGTAGTGACCTTCAGATGTCAGCTGTTTCCTTAACTAAAGCACTGAAGCTGAAGAAGGCGAACCAACCACTGGAACTGACTTTACCCCAAGTGATAAATGTATCCTTTCTGGGCCGTCATCATCACAGTGGGTTTTAATCACGTGTAATCTAATACTGTGTGCACGGTTCGTGTTGAAAATGCATTAACGTGCACGTCCTTCACTGAGAGCGCTAGCCTTGTTCAAGAACACCAACGTGGAGGAAGTGCTCAGCAGACAGAAGCAGAAGCGTGAGCAGGCCCGTGAAGACGCTCAGAAGAAGAAGGAGACGGACAAGATGCAGCGAGAGAAAGACAAACTAGCCAAACAAGACCGAAAAGAGAAGGAGAAGAAGCGTACACAGAAAGGTGAACGCAAAAGATAAAACCAAGACTTTTCACAAAGGAAAAGTACTCAATCTTTCCCTTTTTCCCAGCTGTGTAAAAACTGTTAATACTCCTCGATTGAGTCCCATGTAAACAAACACTCGATGTTCTTATTTTCACTCTAACGGCGATTTAAAATCTATACGGCGGCTCAGAACGCTGTTTTCCATTTCATTGTTTTCCCAGTGTGACACAGGCTTTGACTAAATTTAGAATTTCATAAACTGTAACGAAAAATAACCATGAGGGAAACGAACAAAACTCAAAACAACTCAGATCCATATTTCCGTTTATGCTCTTTATGCTACCGTTTAACAAATTGATATTTTTGCAAACCCACTAAAGACGAGTTCTATTCTTTCTGCTGCTTTTTAATTTTTCACAAAGAACAAAGATTTGCTAATATAACCACAAATATACAATGCACCATCACATGAACGTTTGAGAGGTATCTTTTACAAAACTATTATTAAAAAAAATTCAGACATCTGTGTGTTTTTGGATTTATTCTTTTTTTTTTTATTATTATTTTTAAACAGAATGAGTAACAAACAAACAAAAACAAGAATATTATAATTACAGGAACAGAACAATCTGGTTTTACTTTCCAAGGCACTGGTACCAGTTCATGCAAACATGGACGGCACAGAAACGGACACGTTTCACTGATAACGCTGATACGTTTATATTTACTGTAACAGTTGAACTAAAATCTTTAGTTTGGCCTAAATTCAGATAAGTGAAACAAATTATTACAAAGTGAACAGCAATAGACTTGTATAGTTTCACAAACTAGAACATTTCAACTTTTAAAAGGTTTCATTTGTACAATTTAAATTAAGACTTAAAATAATACACTATTAAGAAAATGTAACTACGATGTCACTGATAACACTGTTTCTTAGAGGAGTTTGATTAATGCATTTAAATATATTGGGTTGTTTTTGTTAGTTTTTTAATTGGAGGACATCTTAAACTGGACTACCAACTTAAAACTGATTTCAAAATCTTCAGGTTACAGAAAAGTAAGAATTGATTGGAACGTGACAGAAGACAAAAAATTATTCAGCATGTTAATTTTAAACGGTTTGTCCTTGTGATTCAATTATTGCTGGGGAATACATAGAACTGAAGTTCTAAAATACTCCAATAAATAAGTAAAATGAAGAATTCACTGAAATCTTCCACATAAATAGTGTCCTTAAATACAGCATATGGTTGTTGATTTGGAGCCGACACTTATTAATTGAAATTAAGTTACAATGTTGCAGAGTAAACTACAGTTCATGCAATTCCTACACACACAAAAAGTTTGTTGGGGTCAAAATATTCAGTCCTCTGAGCTTCAAACTGCTTATCTCACTTTATGTAGTGATCACTGTTTTGCTGATAAAATGTTACGTTCATTTGAAGGTGATACTGTTGGAACATTCGTTTCCTTCCTCATCAACTTTCTTTAAGTTACACTGATAACCAGCTGATTTAAATCCAGAAAGAGTAACCCTGAAGCAGAAAGGAAAACCTCTCGGTGCAGGTCGACTCCTCGTCAGCGTGGTGGTCCTTCATTGTCACAGGTTTGGGCAGGGTGGTCTGCAGGGCGCACCACAGGGCTGTGCGAAGCCTTCTGGTGGCAGCAGACAGGTCTTTCAGCACCACGGCCATCAACAGATCATCTTAAAAAGAAAAGAAGTCAGTTAGGACCAGGAGCATCTCAGGATGAAGGACCTACAGTCCGTTTGGCACTCGTTACCTCTCTCTCCAGTGTAATTAAATCTGTGCTGCTGAGTTTTGGTCAGGCTTGCACCGCTCACTTGGCATCTTGCTTGTGTGACACAAACAGCCATGTGGTGATTTTTTAGTGCTGAGTGGATATTCACATGCAGGGAGATGCTGCAGAGACTCTCCGTTCTACAGAGAAGGCTTGAGACCTGCAGCACAAAGAAGCTGTTTATTCTTTCACATTTTGCAACTGAGCTTTCTATAATGTGGACTAAATAAAACATTTTCTGAAACACATGAAAAACTTTTGTAAAAACAAACAAAGAAAGTTTTTACTGAACCATATTTGCACTTCCCAACAAAATCAGCAAGTGGCCACGGTAATCTGCACGTCAAATAGAAGCACTGGACAAATTTTCAGCGCTTGCTAAAGTTCTAGAAATACAGCAATCTGAACTATTGTCTCTTTATGTCTAAAGCAACAATTACACAAAAGAAAAGTCTTAATGTCGTTGGTTAGTTTTTCTATAGACAAATCTTAAAATAAAACTACTGGTATCACCCAAGAAGAATACTACAATGCCCAAAATACACCTGTAGGTGGCAGCACCGATGCGGTTAAACTGGGGATATCACCTTTGCTTGTTCACTCATCAGGTTAACAATGAGTTGGTCCAGTCTTGTTGGGTTTGGTGGAGTTCTGGGTAAGTTAGTGTTGGTCATCACTGTGGTTCGTTTACCAGGAAATGCCTTTTGAAGAGTGATCTCTGCCTGAAGTAGAAAACAAGAGAAAACTGAAACCAGACCATAAAAATATAATTTAAACTATTACAAAAAGGAATCCAGTCTACTGACAAATATAAATTATCTATAACTGCATTTACATTTGGTTTAGATTTTATTTTATTTAAAAAAATAATAATGTTTCCTTAACCAAATCAGAATTATATACTTATTTTTCACTTTTGACTGGTAGAGGCCATAATGACAATTAGTTAATGGCTTTCTATTATCCATTTTGTATATCCATGTGTGTGTGTGTGTGTGTGTGTGTTAACAATATTTATAAACAATAACCACACCACATTGTAAAGTGGTTAAAACAAGATTCAAATCCAGTTTTTTAACAAAGAAAACTGAGCAGCTCATCTGTTTCATGATCTAAACTTGGTAAACTGAATATTTTTTATGTCATCTTATTAAAAACTTGAACAAACCAACAATAAAAGTGCTACGTATAACCCTTGTGCAACCTAAACTTGAAAGAGACTGCATGCTTATATTAGCAAAATAATCAGGATCATACAGTGTGGAAATAAATTGCTGGTTTTAAAACTGAGACCTTGTGTTGTTTTGACCCAAGGACAACAGGAGGGTTAACTAAACTTAAAAAAAAAAGTTAAATCATACCTTATTTCTGTCCTTCTCCAAAAACCTCCATTGTTCTTGACATTCATCCAGATAGAAGTAGAGCTGCATCACTGGTCCTCCTTGGTCCACTGTAAGTGTGGCTGTCATGGCTGAGAGCCTGCCATGAGGAGGGTTCTTTCCTCTGTAGGTCGTCATGTCACTGGTGACGGAGCTGAAAGCGGCAGGCTCTTTCGTTGGCATCATACCACTTTTATTCATACCAGGAACACCGTTTCCGCAGACTAGTGACGATCTAGAGTTGAAGTTTGAGTTTATAGGCGTACTGGAGAACCTCCTAGGGTCACTTACAGGATACCTGCGAGGTGTAAACGGTTGTGGATTCCCTGCACGGACCACAGTGTCTTCTCCATCAAGTCTCTGATACTGCATGTTTCCCTGAAAATCAAGGTACGGGTTTTGTTCTATGGGATGTTTAGCTCTATCCATCATGTACGCATTGGTTTGTTGCCTCCTCCTGTTGCCTTCTCCAAGAAATCCAGACATTTGCATCTTCTTTTTTTCTCTCTCCAGTTGGGACTTGACTTTTGTCTGCATCTGGCTCTGCTGAATCATCTGATGTTTTATATACTGGTTCATCCTTAAATTAAAGTTCTCTCTTTGCATTGCCATCTTGTTTTGGTGGTGGTGTGTGAGATTTAAATGTGAAGGAAGTTCCTGTGGTTTCTGAAAGTACTCTGTGTTTTGAGAGTTGAAATTGTGAAGATCCTGAAAGGCATCAAGTTTGAATTGGTTTTTCCTCACTTCTCTAATTCTTCCCCTCTGCACTGATCCCAAGTCTTCTAAGAGCTGCTTCTGGGTCTGCATGTCCAGAGAACTTTGTGTTGACACTGCAGGGCCGGTGATGTTCCATTGTTCAGCCAGTCCTTGTTCTTTGGGTAAACCCAGTGTCTGCTTGTGCACGTTTGAAAACTCGTGACAAATGCCGTGTTGCTCACGAGGCATGAACAACTGAAACCTGTTGACCAGCTGGTTCACATCTTCTGGTAAATAATTGTCTTTGCACATTGGATTTACATTGCTTTGGGTGTACTGCCCTTCATAAAAATCATCAAAAGAGGAGACGTTCATTCCATTCTGTGGTCTAAAGATGTCGCTGAGCTCAGTGAAACTATTCAAAGGCTGATCATTCCGACTGTCAATATAAGGAAGCATGCCGATGCATTTAATTTGTTGCATCTGGGATGGGTTCATCATCTTGGGCAAAGGTAGACCAGGTGGCAGTTTCTGAGGATGCAAGGAATGATTGTCACCGTTGGGCAAACTGAAAAGCCATTGTTGATTGCCAGCAAGGCCACTGGACTCTTCACTCGGTTGGTCACCCAATTTGTCAGTTGAATGTTGCTTCGCTTTACTAAAAGTCTCAAGGGATGGATGGTTTGAAGGAAAGGAAGGATTACTGAGTGTTTTTGCCTCTGTCTTTAAATTCTGCAGCAGTTCTCCTCTTTGTGTCTTTGGAGACCAGAAGGGGTTGCACGTAGGAAGGCTTTTAAAAGATGAGGTGCATAATTTATTACAAGTTTTTTTATGAAATTACAATTTTCTTTGATTTGTCACAGCTATAGATGACAATCCATTGTGCACGTATGAAAACAATTGACATACCTCTCACTGAAGAAACTATCCCTGGAATCTGCTTCATCCACAATGTTTGAAACTAGACCTTGCAGATCTGCTTCACTGTCACAATCAGCTTTATCGGTTGGTTTTCTTAAACAGAAAGAAAATATGCTCAAAAACATGTTTTTTCTATTAAACATCATCATACCAAATTTCACTAAACGTTCCTTTTTTTATATTATTTGTTTAAACTCATTACGTTCATATAACAAAGTCCAGCTCAAGTTGATTAGGTTAAATTGCAGTATGATGTATAAACAAAATCAAAAACAGATTTGATGTGATTACAACTCATGCCAAAACATAGAATATGGCAATACCTGTTTATAATGCTCGTTTGGGTGAAATAAAGTTTATAGGGATCATCTTGAGAAGTGTGAGCCCAGCTCATGTACTTGTTGTTGTCCTCTGGTTTTAAAGCCACTGAAATGAACGGCACGGACATGTTTCCACTATTTAGAGCTCCCGTATTAACACCCGTCTAAAAAGAACAATAAAGAAAAGATTATTCAGCATGCAGATCATCTAAAAACAAAACAAAAATTTTATTTCTTTTTTGTTTCTTAAGACAATATGTATTTATGCAATTTTATTGGTTAGTAAATATTTGCACATTTCATTTGATTTTTAAATAACTCTCTAAACTGATGCCTTAATTAATAACATAACTTCAGGGAAACCATCATTGGACTGGGGGGTGGGGGTGATTTGTTAAGCATTACAAAGCCCTCCCAGTACATAAATGCATTGTGACCAAAGCAAACTACTAATATCCAAGCTTTCAGACTGGTCCAGAATAATCTAAAATGATCTGTTTAGAGTTTCTATTCAGTAGCATCTATTACAGTCTACTGGAGCAGCTCATACAAATACCATTATTAAAAGTATACATTTGAACAGTAAATATGTTAAATATATACCGTGACATAATTGAAAAGCTGGAATAATTGTTAACTATTGATAAGATTTTGTTCATTACATCTACAAATGCATACAAATGAATAGTTTGTATTTGTAATTACTCTTTCTTAACGTGCGATTTCTGTGTTTTTGTCTTTCTTCCTAGAGGAAACCTGACGCCTCCATCCTGGACCTGCCATTGTGGGTCTGTTTTCTCCTTCCTGTCCTCTCAAACCCAGCGGGCCGAAGCGGATGGCCACTTGTCCTGAGCCTGGTTCTGCTGGAGGTTTCGTCCTCACGAGGGAGTTTTTCCTTTCCACTGTTGCCTCTGTGCTCGCTCAGGATGGGAGACGACTGTGACGAAGTGAAAGCTCGAAGCAATCTGCTGGCTCCTTACATAAATATTGTTATTAACTGATTTTTATGTAGGTGAATTTTTCTGCCCGGAGACGACTTCTGTTGTGAAATGGTGCTTTATAACTAAACTGACTTGAATCTTGAAGGCAATGCATCTATAACTTTAGATGAAAACTAATCAAATGCAAAGCTATTTTGTTGTTGTTTCTTTCAGAGTTGGTCAGACAACACAGATAAATTGATATTTATCAATATAGTTTCACTGGTCACAATGCTTTAAACTGGATGCCAGCTGATAATCATATTAACATGGTAGTTACAGTTTTTACTTTAATTTCTTCATATTTGACTACACTACATTATTAAAAGCTTAAATATGACCTAATTAATTAAATAATACCAGAAATGATTACTTACCTGAAGCTGACCAGTAGATTTCTATCCACGTTGAGGTCTGTGCTATTCTTCAGTGCTTCATTATTGGTCTAGAAAGAGTTGTAGTTAATATCAATCATAAATTACGGCGCGTGTAAAACCCAGTGAATATGATCAGCTACGAGTTTTTTCACCAAGCACAAACGAAATAGCCATTTTGGCTAACTAAAAAAAAAAAGCCGTTAAGTTAAGCTAATTAAGTAGCTAGCTTTCACGCGTTAACTCATAGCTATTTTTTTAAACTCGAGTTATCTGAGGACGGTTTAACTGAGAAAAACGGGAAAAAAGCAAAACAAAACAAAACAAACTTACCCGATTTAAGTTTTAGGGGGAAGATTTTTTTTTTTCTAGAGTTTCAAGGTTTGCTTTGAAGTCACTGAAGTCCTTGTCGCGAGCTGTTCAGCAACCCCGCTCCCTGTCCTCGTGACCTGAACGCCCATTGGCTGAGAAGAGAGCAGACTTTATTTTTTGTCCAATTAGCAATAAGCACGCGATCCAAGCGCATAGCAACAGCTGCTGTCGCCCCTCCTCCATGGAGGGGACCGTGTTCCGGTCACTGCAGTTCAGCCCTTGACCCGCCGACATCTTCATTTATTCAAGTACCAAATCCTCCCGCTCATTCTAATGACGTTTGCTTTTTGATAACTTTGATGCAGTTAACTCTTTTACAAATATTTCCCCCATATTAATAAATTAAGTTCTATCTAATAAATGAAAATCAGTGTTCTCTGAAATTGCTTCAGCACCTTGCCCTGATTTTTAAAAAAAATTAGCGTTCAAGTTCAAATTAGTTTAATAGTTAGTTAGTTTATTAGTTTAATAGTTTTAAGTATCATTTGCACATGTAGTACATGAGGTGGAACAAAATTGTGTTCACAGGGTCCCAGTAACATCCAACAAAAGCAAAAATATAAATAGTAAAAAAAAAAAAAACAGTAAATAAGGATCTAAGATATTCAACCTTTATTTAGACAACTTGTATTTATTTAATCCCAATGAGCCTCAAGGACTCATTTACAAGAGAGACCTGATTTCAGCGATGAACGATGACAACAGTGGACCATTATAAAAGAGGCATACGGATTTTTATTTTATTTTATTTTTTACAAATAAGATGCAAAAAAAGTAGAAAGACAGCTGGATTCTAAGGCGAATGTATAAAACTAAAAACAGGAACATGTCTGCGTTAGTCCCTGCCAGGAGTCCAACTGATTCTTAAAGACACTTAGAGAGGTCAAAGGTCGAGAGCTTCAGATGTTTTTACAAGATATTCCAAGAAACAGGAGCGGAGGAGGAGAATGTCCTTTTGTCTAGTTCAGTCCTCACTGAGGGGACGCTGCAGGTAATGATGTCCTGAGAGCGCACGCATGTGGCCACACTTTTGCCACTTTTAGCTTCTGGTGTTTTACTACTTTTAGCTTTAAACTGGCCATCAGCTAGACTTCTGTTACATTTAGCTTTTCACCAGTTTTTTGCTACTTACTTTGCTACTTAATTTCTACTAGCTGATGTACTATTACTTTTTGCCACTTTTTGCTAGTTATTAAACATTTCATCACCATTTGCTACCTTTCTGGTTACTGTTATACTGTACTACTTTTAGCTTTTGGCCGTTTGTTACTTTTAGCTAGACTTTTGCTGCATTTGTGTTTTAACTAGCCTTAGCTTTTAGTGTTCTGCATATTTTCCTTGTTAGCATTCCGGATTTTAGTTTTAACAACTATGATTCACCTTCCTCAGCAAATTTTAGCCAAGCTGCTCAGCACTAATGAGAAAATTCAATTTATTTAGGTTATTTAAACCATACTTTCATGTAATATTTGAATGTCGTCTTTACTGATTGTTGGCTGGCCTTTCTCTTTTTTATTTTTTATTTTTTTACTCAGATTTTGAAATTTATACTCCTGTGCCTTTAAGACGATCTTAGTTTTAACATTTGTTGTTGATGATATGCATATCTTTAAGAAATGGTATAGACCTTTAGTTGTAACTTCATCCATCAGGAAGTGCTGCAACACCCTCTGCACCCCTACTTTCCACTGCTTATTAATAATATTATTATTATACATTTTATGTAATTTTCAATTAACTGCTGTTTAATTGAGTTAGGCCCGGGGTCTGCAATCTGCGGCTCTGGAGCCACATTTGGTCCTTCTGCAGCGGCTCGTTCAAGCTTTGACCAAAACCGACATAAAACTGAATTTTATTGGTTACACAAACAACAACAAATGTTTAGTTGAAACAGTTTTCCTGTCATTTCTTTGCAAATACGTGAACACTGAAGCGAGTACAAGGAGTAAAACATACTCACTTTAACTTGGTGCTTTACTTCTTTATATGTATAACTGTCTGCATGGTTTCTAGATTTTTTTTAATAAATAAAAAAAGAAAATAATCACATCATGATGCTGCTGATTTATTTCATGTTGCTGTGTTCATTCATGCTCATCTGCTCACACAGACTCATGTCCGTGCTGCTGTTGGGCGTATTGTTTTTATTGTTTTTATTGTTTTTATGCTACTAGTGCTTAACGTGTTTTTAGTTGATGTTTTTCTTAGTTCATATCTTAGATCTTATTACTGTGTTTCTTATACATTTTGTTGTTGGATGTAACTGGAACTGTGAGTACACAATCTCGTTCCACCACATGTACCACATGAGATGTGAATGAGAAATAAAGAAACTCTGAGATAGATAGATAGATAGATAGATAGATAGATAGATAGATAGATAGATAGATAGATAGATAGATAGATAGATAGATAGATAGATAGATAGATAGATAGATAGATAGATAGATAGATAGATACTT